TCTTCAAAAAGCTTCCTTTAAGTGTAACCTAGGTACGACACTCTTCCTTTTATTTCCACCCGGGGAATTTGGCCTTACTGTCTCTCGTGCCTAGAAGGAGTTATCTGGGCCATTGTGGAGCCACGGGGCCTTCTAGCATTGCCAGTAACCTGGGACAGCTCGTTAGTAATCCAGGCAGTAGGAGGGGAGGTTGGAGCGAGGCAGGCCCGTTAGCCTCAGCTCCCCTGGAGCCCCTGCCAGCTGCTACAGAAGCGGACTTCATTCCTCTCCCAGCTGTCAACCACGCGCCAGTCCCCTCCAGACCGCATAGATAGTGGATGACAATGGGAAGGGGAGCGAGTTATGTCCCTTGGGGATGAGCACTTTACTGGAGGGTCGGGTGGATCTCATGCAGCACCAGGGAAGTATTGTTACATCTCCAGGGATGTCACAATCATCTCCGAACAGAAATTCTCAAATCCAACCTTGTTATAAAAAAGTCAATTACAAAAAGACAAAATTACAAAAAGACAAATACCTAGGATTCCACCCATACAAGATACCTAGAGAATCAAATTCGTAGAAGCAGAGAGTAGAATGTTGATTACCAGGGGCTGGGGGGAGGGGAGATGGCAGCTATTGTTTAATGGGTATAGAGTTTCAGTTTTACAAGATGAAAAAGTTCTAGAAAGGTGTGGGAGGAGGGGATGAATAGGTGGGGCACAGAGGATTTTTAGTGAAAATACTCTGCGCGATACTATAATAATTAATACCCGTCATTATACATTTGTCCAAACCCGTAGACTGTACAACACCAAGAGCGGACTGTGATGTAAACTATGGACTTTGGGTGATTATGCATCAGTGTAGGTTCATCACTTGTAACATATGTCCCACTCCAGGGAGGGATGCTGGTAATGGGGGAGGCTACGCATGGGTGGGCGCAGGGGGTATATGGGAAACCTCTGTACTTTCCCCTGAATTTTCCCATGAACCTAAAACTGCTCTTAAAAAATAGTCTTAATTAGGGGCCGGCCCGGTGGTGCAGCAGTTAAGTGTGCAAGTTCCGCTTCGGTGGCCTGGGGTTCTCAGGTTCGGATCCCCGGTGCTGACATGGCAGTGCTTGGCAAGCCATGCTGTGGTAGGCGTCCCACATATAACATGGAGGAAGATGGGCACAGATGTTAGCTCAGGGCCAGTCTTCCTCAGCAAAAAAGAGGAGGCTTGGCGGCAGAAGTTAGCTCAGGGCTAATCTTCATTTAAAAAAAAGTAGTCGATTTAAAAAAAAGAAATCCCCCCCAAACGTTCTGGAGATCTGTTTCACAACAAAGGGAATCTTACTTAACACTACTATACATTTAAAAATGGTTAAGATGGTAAATTTTATATGTGTTTTTACTGCAGTAAAAAATAATTTAAAAAGTCATTTAAACTTCACCTACTTCCAAACCCAGGTGGCTCCGAACAGTTAATAATGGACAACGCATCCGTATAAATAAAGCTGGCGGGGCTGGCCCCATGGCCGAGTGGTTAAGTTAATGCGCTCTGCTGCAGGCGGCCCAGTGTTTCTTTGGTTCGAATCCTGGGCGCGGACATGACACTGCTCATTAAACCACGCTGAGGCAGCGTCCCACATGCCATAACTAGAAGGATCCACAACGAAGAATATACAACTATGTACTGGGGGGGTCTTTGAGGAGAAAAAGGAAAAAAACAAAATCTTAAAAAATAAATAAATAAAGCTGGCTGTCCAAGGCGTGCGCCTTAGCACACACTGCGTGTGGGTGTGCACACGTGTCCCGTAGTACTTTCAGGATCATGGAGTTGTGAGTGACCTAAGCCAAATGGAGAGAAATTGTTTGGGACCCTGGAAATCAGCACTCCCGTGTCCCAAGCAATGAGAAAGAGGCAGCTCTGGGAGAAGGGTGGTCTAGCTGAGCTGAGGCGATTGGAGCAGAGGAAAATGGGATCCCACTGAGAAGAGGATGGTAGAGAGAAAGGAAAGGGCTTGCACTTCACGAAGCTCCTCACCATCTAGGATCCGAGGAGCCACATTCACATGCAGCCCTGACCCTCTGCAGAGTCTCGGAGGATGCCTCTGCCGCGTGGGCTTTGGTGAAGACTTGGATTATTAAGATGCAAATTAATAATCATAATTCCTGACCCTTAAATGGCACTTTTTCCTAAAAGACCTCAAAGAGCTTGACTATTTACTGTTCCACACAAAATCCTGCTTTCTCCAATAACACTGTGATATATAAATGGCCACAAAACCGAAATAAAAAGAAAACATATTAAATACAGTCACTATGGCAGGTGCATTTGGGCTGCGAAATGTATTTGGTTGGATAAATTGTTATCAGCTAGGCTTTCCCTTCTTCTCTTCCTTTTTAAGCCACCATAAAAACCCAGAGTAAGTTACCATGAAAAGCTATAATAATGCTAATTTTGTTCCCATTTCCTGGCTTTTTCCACTAGACTTGAGGCTCTTTAATATGACTTTAAAATTTTTTCCCATTAATAATACCCTTTCTCTTGGGCTCTGCTCTTTTGAAGTTGTATTATTATTTCCCTCTATGACTGACTGCAGCATATTTACTGTTTAAAATCAGCTCCTAATGCATGAAAGCAAATTCCCAAGGGCCACGTTGCCCACCCTCAAGTTTAAAAGCTTCCAAAAATGAGTGAAGAGGCATCACCCTGAATGGAAACGTTCGGGGCAGCTTGCCCTGAACCTTCCTTGGGAACAGGCAGATCTGGAGCACGCAGTGCATCTCAATGAGGAGGCGTGCGTCTGATCTGTCACTCGCTGCCTGCAGTCCTGGTAACCACCCAGGCACCAGCGGTCGCCACACGTGTGATAATGGCCCACTGTGGGCAGCAATTTCCTGCACACGCCTGCTCCTGGCCCCTTCCCCGCCTCCCCAGCAGGGGAACAGCTGCTTTTTCTCCAGAAGGGGTCCCCAAGGATATACAGATGCTGAGCTGGGGTGTTGAGGGCATCCGAGTCCTTGAAGGCTGGGTTGGAGAAACACGGGGAGCATCAACTCAGAAGTGAGAAATATGTCAACTCCCCGTGGCAGCTTTGGCCTGGTGCTGCTCATCAGAGGCCCTGAAGAACCATTACACGTGCCTCAGACCCACCCCCAAACTGGGAAACAAGTTTGTTACCTTAATACACACATCTTACTTGGTGGAAAAAATCTGTTTATTGAATAAATGAGTGAATGTGTAAATGAAAAATAAAGGAACGATTCACATTAAGCCTCATCACAACTCTAAGAGGTAAACACTATCATTATCCCCATTTTATACATGAGAAAACTAAGGATTGAAGAGGGTAAGCTTTTGCCGAGATCACAAAGCTGGCTCTTGACAGAGCTAAGATTTAAATCTTTGTCTTATTCCAAAGTCTGGGATTCTCCACTTCCCCTCCAACCTTGGGCTCATGCCCATTGGCCAAATTCTCACCTCCAAGTCCCCTGGATTCAGGGACCATATTTTCTTTTTAAAGATTGGCACCTGAGCTAACATCTGTTGCCAATCCTCTTTTGTTTTCTTCTCCCCAAAGCCCCCTGCTACATAGTTGTATATTCTAGCTGTAGGTCCTGGTTCTGCTGTGGAGGATGCCACTTCAGCATGGCCGGATGAGCGGTAGTAGGTCTGTGTCCAGGATCCGAACCGACGAAACTCTGGGCCACCAAAGCGGAGCGTGTGAACCCAACCACTCGGCCATGAGGCCAGCTCCTCAGGGACCATTTTGAATTACTTTTACAATTTGGCCACCAGTAAACGAAAATTAGTAAAGTGGCATGGAGTCATAATAACTACCATTTATGTAGCACTTACACTTCTCCAGGCACTGTTCTAAGTGCTCTGTGTATACTAATTAATTAGATTTTCACCACCCTTCTATGAAGTAGGGTTAGAATCCGCCTTTACAGAGGAGGAAACTGAAGACAAATAGATGACTTGTCAGCGAGCAGTGAAGACTGGATTCAGAGCTGGGCAGTTTGGCTCCGGAGTTCGTGCTTGCAAGCGTTTCGCTGTCATCTGTGATTGAGGTAGGGGCTCTTACGTGTTCCCTCTGCCCCCTCATGGGACTGAGGACGTCAGGGCCATCCCAGCCTCTTCCCCTCAGGATGTACAATCTCCATTGTCACCTTCCCAGGTGGGGAGAACCCCGGGACAGGAATGGTCCTGACATGCAGACAGTGCCTTCAGCTGTGCACCTCTGGCATGAGCCTGGCTCTCTGATCCTTGGCACAACCATTGACTCTGTCGCCCATCCTTCTGTTCACAACCACCTCTGCTGGCCCCTCTATGGACCTGCAGGTTTCTAAAGCAACCATCCACCCAAGCCAAGAGCCCTGAGAAGTCTGTGCCCAAATCCCTGAGAGCATCTTGGAGGAAAGACCCCATCTGTCTCACCCTTCTACCTACCGCCCTCTTCCCTCAGAGGGAGTTGGGTCCTATCTGCACGATTTCCTGTTCCTTCTTAGAGGTGGCGCCTCTCTTCCAGCTCAGGGGTTGACAGAGCCAGAGCCCCCTGTCATGGTTTCAGTGCAGCCAAAAAGGAGAACTGTCTACAGGGCCCTTGCCCCCAGGCTCTGGATCTTTAGTATTCGGTTTGTGTGTTTACAGAATGTGTGAGGGCCCCTTGAGACCAGGAATCACATCCTGGTTGTCTCTTCACCTCAGAACCTAGCACAGAATCTGACTCACTGAGGTGTCCTATTGATGATTGTTGAATGAGTGAATAAACGACTTTAGGAGCTCAGTATATTTCAATTACATTGAATGAGGGAGGGCCCCCTACCTCTCTCCAGTGATGACTTGGAAAGAAACAGCTAGGCAGTTTCTTCCTGCACAAGACAAGGCTCCCTTAGGCCCACGGGGGCGGAGCACATGCATGCAGGGCTATGATGCCTGCCCCAGCTACAATCAGAGCACCTCCTCTCTCGGCTGTATTACCTGGAAGTTTCTGCATGCGTTAGTCTCAGCATGAAAGAGACATCACATTTCCATGGGGTAATTGAGGAGAATTTAAAGAAGAGGTTATTTACAGAGGTACGGGTAGGGTTAAAGGAAACACACAAGGGATTATGAAGCTCTTGAGATGAACAACAGCAATTGCTCCCAATGTCTGAAAGGATAAGGTTGGGAGATGGTTCTGGAACCCAGAGGGAGAGAAAGGGAGGTGGAGCTGAAGGAGAGGGACACCAGCAGGAACACGGCCACCTGGCGAGGAGGGAGCTGGGGGAACAAATACATTGACCCTCCTCTTTTTCCATCCCTCAATCTCCCGCTGGCTCCTCCTGCTGGCTGAACCTGAGTGGAAGCAAGGTGGTCTGACGATGTATTCCTCAGCATCCCAGGGCTCAGGGCAGGGTGAAGAAGAGGGGTGTCTTAGTCCACACAAGCTGCTATAACAAAAATACCCCTAGATGGAGTGGGTTACACAGCAAACATCTATTTTTCACAGTTCTGGAGGCTGGGAGTCTAGGATCAAGTTGCCTGCAGATTCAGTATCTGGTGAGGGCCCAGTTCCTGGTTCACAGAGGGCTGTCTTCTCACTGTGTCTTCACGTGGCCTAAGGGAAACAAGAGAGTTCTCTGGGGTCTCTTTTATAAGGACACTAATCCCATTTGTGAGGGCTCCACTCTCATGACCTGAACACCTCACAAAGGCCCCACCTCCAAACACTATCATATTGGGGATTAGGTCTCACTATATGAATCTTGGGGGATCACGAACATTTGGTCTCTAGCAGCTGGAGTGTGGATCTGGAGGAGCAAATCAAACATTCTTCCTAGTAAGATAAATTCATTGATAAAAAGCCTCCTACTGTGAAAAAGACAACACAAAACAGAACTTTGAAAACCGTTACTCTGACCCATCGCCCTTATTTCCCAAGTGAGAAAGTGGAGGTGTAAAATAGGGTTTTGAATTAATCCAGATTGCAAACCTAGAAGCCTAGCTACCTGATTGCAAATCCTTAATTTGTCCTCAAGGATATCCTTCTAGCTTTTTCTGGTGGACATACTTGAGTCACATGCTTCTCTAAGCATTGGTGTTCGCAACCACTTGCTGATTTCTCCTGATGGGTCTCTTAAATCACCCGCTGTAACCCACTGCCTGGCCTCTCCATTGCCTCTGAATTTACAGTTCCAGTTAAAGTCACGTTCATGAACGGGGAGGGAACGAATGGCTCTGCCCATCCCTTCAAGCCCCCAAATTGATTTGGCACTCGAAGTCACTGTTATATTTTATACTGAGTCTTCTGAATCAGTTCATTGAATTTTAGCTGTAGCTATATAAAACCCTCTCCAGTGAAATTATTTGGCCATATTGCGGATGGTTCTGCCATGATCTATCAATGCCACTAACTATCAGCAATAAAAAAAAAAAAATCTCCTTCTTCTCTTTTCATTGTAATGAGTTTTCTAAACTTGGATTGAACCTTAGAAGGCACTTTCCTGGCTTTTTAATTTTTAAAAGGTAGCATTTTCTGTTTTTCTAGGAAATACGCAAGATGGGCGGTGGCAAATTTTGAAGATTTCCTATGCTGTAGAAAGGTTGTTGCGGAGATTCAGGAAAGCTTGGCTTGGGGTTTCTGGAAGGAAAAGATGGGCATAGGGAAGGCTCAGGGAGTCCAGTTTGACTTAGATATCTGTGATTTAGTGCAGGTCAGAAGGATGGAGTTTGTCAAGCAAAGAGCAGGTGTGAAAATCCGGCTGGGATTATTTCAGTGCATTAGTACGTTGGTGAAGCGGGAAAAATGGCATAATGTATCCAATGGTCGCAAAAATATATATTATTGTTCTGCACAGGAACCTGATTTCCAGGTCAGGTAGGAAGCTATGGAAGCAGACTTTAGAAGAGCATTACAAAGTGGCTTAGGTGGAAGAAGCAGACAGCGTCACGAAGAGAAAACAATTCACAGTTCAGGAAGGAAAAGCTATGAGTACCTACAAATACTTAGACACCACAAATAACTGTGTATTAAAAACCTGTCTTAAACTCTAGGGGTGCATCTGGAGTTAACATAAATGAGATTTTTAAGGCAAATCTTTAGGCTAATGTTGAAGCTGGAGTTAATATTGATTTGCCCAATAGGCTGGCAGAGAGGAACTCCCACCCCTTGTTATGACAAAGTGGCCATACTCACTAGTCCTGTGGTCTTTAGAGACTACCATTGAATAGATATGTTCCGTCCTCAGGGGAAAGTCCTTTAGTTAATCAACATTTTATCCTCTCACTATTTGTACAATGGAATATACGATGGCATTTTAAACAATGGAAAGTCAAGCAAAAAGATTTTTTAAAAACCTTTAGAAAGCCCTCTCCCTTTGTTGCAACATTTGCAGTACTTCTGTAATTAGGGGAGAAAAATCCCACAAGATATTTTAATGGAAAAAATGTTATATTTGAATGACAGAAAACTTGAGGTAAAAAATTAAGTCCTCATTCCTCTACAACCCTGCTAAGTGTAGACCACTTCAAGGACTCATATGAAGACAACAGATAGTCTGTATTCCTTTAGGTTCTTTGGTTGCAAGCAACAGAAACTGACTTGATAATTTAACGAAAAGGGTTTACTGAAGGATAGTGGGGGCTCACAGAATCTCCAAGAGGCTTGAGAACTGACTTAAATAAAAAGGGCAGGATTTGTCTGGAGGGGTAGGCAACCAAGCCATGAGACCCACGTCATAGCAATATCTGATCACAGCCCTGGGAAGAGTAAATACTGTGGCTTTGTGTCTGCATCTCCTGCTTACAATTCACAGTGCAAGAAGGAAGTATGATTGGCCAAGCATGGGTCACGTGTCCACCTCTGACTCTATTAGGTCAGGGATGAAAAAGGGCCCAGCTTCAGAGTAAGGTCTCCTGAAACGACCATTTCAGTGGCAATTCCCCCAAAGCATTATGAGATGCTTTGAGGCAAACTCAAAACAGCACACATCCACTACAGAACTCAAAAGAAAAAAGGAACCAGGTTAGAACTTCCCTTTTCTCAAAAATATTTTATCACCTAAATTCTTCTGTATCTTCCATGGGAAAGTACTTAGCGTTTTTCCCTAGAACAGTAATTCTCGAGTTGTGGTCCCCAGACCAACAGCATCAGCACCATTTGGTGTATTAGTTTCCCAGGGCTGCCATAACAAATTACCATCAACTGAGGTGGCTTAAAAACCAGAAATTTATTCTCTCACTGTTCTGGAGGCTAGAAGTCTGAAATCAAGGTTGTAGCAAGAACATGCCCCTTCTGAAGGCTCTAAGGAAGAGTCCTTCCTTGTCTCTTCCCAGTTTCTGGTGGTTGCTGGCAGTCCTTGGTGTTCCCTGGCTGGTAGATGCATCACTCCAGTCTCTGCCTCCATCATCACATGGGCTTCTCCCTGTGTGTCTCTGTGTCTATTTTCCTTTTCTTATAAGGACACCAGTCATATTGGATTTAGGGCTTACCCCAATCTGGGCTGCTGTTGTGACTTGCTTTGACCAATAATGCAGAAGAGGTGGCAGTGTGCTGGTTCCAAGATTAGCCTCTAAGAGGCCAGGAAGCTTCCATTTTTGTTTTCTCAGGGTTCGGGGCGGGGTGGGAGGGGCAGCTGCCATGCTGTAAAGAAGATCAAGCTAGACTCTTGAATGACGAGACACCATGGAGAGAGAGAGAAAAGACACATGGAAGAGCACTGAGATACCAAACCTATGAATGAATTCTTGGACCTTTCTGCTTAGTCCAGTGCCAACTAAATGTGGCCAAGTGATTGACTGATTGACCCCAGCTGACACTACATGACACTACATGGAACAGAGAAACCAGCCAGCTGAGCACTGCCCAAATTTCTGACCCACAGAATTGTGAAAAATAATGTCATTGTTTAAAGTCACTAAATTTGGGGATGGTTTGTTACCATGCAATAGATGACTGAAATACTTGCTAATTCCTCATTTTGTGCTACAGATTGAGTGTGTCCTCCCAAAATTCATACGTTGAAACCTATTCCGCAGTGTGGTGATATTAGGAGGTAGGGCCTTTGGGAAGTGGTTAGGTCATGAGGGCAGAGCCTTCATGAATGAGATTAGTGCCCTTATAAAAGAGATCCCAGAGAGCTCTCTTGTTCCCCTTCTGCCATGTGAGGACACAGCAAGAAGACAGCTGTCTATGAACTGGAAGTGGGCCCTCACCAGACACTGAATCTGCCAGCCCCTTGATCTTGGACTTCCCAACCTCCAGAACTGTGAGAAATAAATTTCTGTTGTTTATAAACTGCCCATCTACAGTATTTTGTTATAGCATATTTTTATGGTATTTTGTTATAGTAGCCTGAACAGACTAAGAGACTGTTTATTTTTCTTCATAGCAATTATCTCAGTAAGAAATTATACAATTATTAGTTTATCTGTGGACTGTTTATCATCCATCTCTCCCTCTAGAATATAAACTCTATGAAGAAAAGGACTTTGTCTTGTTCACCACAGCATTCCCAGTGCTTAGAACCATCCCTAGCCTAATTTAGGACTCAATAATATTTGTTGAATAAATTAAAATACCAAGAACTCTAACTGATATATGAACCTTACTTTTCTACAAAAGTCCCATCCATCTTCATGGAAACATTTTCCTTTATATCCCAACATCCGTTTACATTTGCCTTTTAAATCAGAGATCCCTATCAGGTTACTAGGAAAACCTTAGGCATTTATTTTTAACCCAGAAAATACTTTGGGTCAAGATCTGCAGTGCATTCTCAGATGACTTGGGCATTATCACCATTCACTGGATAGTGCAGGCAATCCTGTGGGCAAGTTAACGACAAAGTACCACTTAGTCCCTTGTCATCTCAGGATAGACTTCTTGTGCCACCCAGACCCTCCCATTTAAATACATACAAGTCCCCACTTTTAGGATAGAACGTCCAAGCAAGGGCTGATGGCTCCTTTTTAATTCCTGAGATCCACCAATTTTCCCATCAGGGCAACACAAGAACAGCCCCCTCTTTGTTAGTCATCGAAGAAGATCATTTTCTAGTATTTTTCCTCCCTGACTCACTGGTCCTCACCGTGCATCAGACATAGGACACCGCCACATTGGGGAATGCCTTCCTCTGAAATAGGTTCGCTGTGACTTCTTTCACGCCTGGTTGGAACACAGAGTCCTAATTAGAGCGAGGCTCCTCTCTCAGATCAGTGCTCTGATGGTTCTAAATTGGTTCACACCATCCCCTTTCTTCCTAAATGATCAGGATCTTTGCCTTTCTTATTGTAGACACATGAGATTGACCACCGGGTCCCTGACACTGCCCTCTGACTAACGTTTTCCCTGGTGTTTTCAGGTATGCTGCCCCATACATTTCATTTTGGGAGCCACACTGCTAGGTTGTAATGTAATTTTTCTAAATTTAGCCTGTAGAAGGAGGCTCACGGCCAGGGGAAGGGGATGATAGCTTACCAGGAATCCACATTTAAGCAAAAGGAAGTCGTCCCTGGGGATCTGGATTTATTTACAGAGTTTGGGGACTCAAATGAAGACGAAATAGACTTAGCAGCCACGCTTCCCTGCTGCAATTTAACAGCCTCTTAAGCACAAAATCAAACACAATATAAATAAAGTGGTTCAAGTCTTTCCTGAGTGTCTTACCTTAACTTCTGCCGCCTTCTGTCTTTCTGTCCCCTAGATGTCCCCAAAGACCCCCTTCCATCTTCTTGAAGACCTGTAGCTTTTTAAGGAGAAACAATGGCATCTTCTGAAATGCTTCCTGAGACCTCGGGAGCAATCTGGCAATGCAGAAGGTGGCATTACTCCAAGAGCAGGTCTGTTGAAGATCTTGATTAAAAAAGATACCAATTGTGCGCAGCATCTTTTAGGAAACCTGTTATGTGCCTAAGCCTGTACTTGGCATTATGGGAAATAAAGAAATGAATCAATTTTATATCTTACTCTCTGCTACTAAGTAAGTTAAAAAGACAAGTCATGATATAATAGAGCAGCTCAGAGCATGCACTATGGAAGTAAACTGGCTGTGCTAGAATCCTGCTAACATTTAACCTTTCTGTGCCTCAGCTTCCTCATCTATAAGTTGGAGACAATAAAAGTAGCTACCTCATAGGGTTATTATGGGGATTTAAGTGAGTTAATAAACATAAACAGGAGAGAGACTGACATGCAGCAAGTGATTTCTATTTTCTATTTTATATAGTTATGGGTATTAATATATATGTGTATATATTTATATATATATATTCATACAATGTAGAAAATATCTATTACAAGGGAGGGGCGCATACAGTGCTATCAGAATTCAAAGGCAGGGGACATTGTTTGTAGCTGGAGGGAACCTGGGAGGCTTCCTGGAAGAGTGGCAAAGACAATCATGCTCACCAACTGTTATATTTGCTTCGCCTACTTCTCAACTCTGTTGTCAGGGTCACACGACAAGTTCTGGCCAATGGGATATGTGTGAAAGTGCTGGGCTTATTTGGTCTCCCAACTCCTGCTGCAGTGAATGAGACAGCCTCCCATCCCAGATGTTGCAGCTACAAATGGTAGAAAGGCCATCAGCCTGGTACCTGAGTGTTGGTGTGGAGTAGAGACACCTCCTCTAACCCAAACACACACATACAACCCCACAATAGATATGTATCATGAGCAAAACATAAACCCTTCATATGCGAGGCCATTGGGACTTAAAGCTTCATTTGTCACTGTAGGGTAACCTAATCTATCTTGACTAAGGTTATAAATATAATATTATATATACATTATATAATATATAAATGTGTATATATATGATGCTGGTGGTAAAACAGCCCAAGAAAAAGAATGGAAGTAGGGCAACATATAGTATATTGGACAAATATTTGTTTGACTGGAAAAAGAAAAACTAGAGTCGGATCATGGAGGGCCTTAAATTCTAAAGAGTTTAGACTTCAATCCATAGGGCAACAGGGAACCATTAGGTATGCTTCCCGGGATAATTACACCAAGCAGGTAGCACCAGTGGAAGCTCTCTGAAGAGCAAGAGGCTTTTATGAAGTCCAGTAGTTTCGGTGGTCCCTGCTTGAGCCAGAGGGTCCCTCCCTTCCTCAAACAGCTCAGAACACTAGAATTTTGCTCTGTAAGTCAATACCAAGAAGAATTGGGTTTTATGATCTCTAAGACAGAAATTTCTCCCCATAATCCCTAACCCATCTCCGTAGACTCTCTCTGTCCAGAGCAGCAGGCACCCTCTCTGCGTTTGTTGTTGAAGCTAGAACAAAGTCTCAGGATGACAGCTTCCAGGAAGAGCCACCAAAACTTCCATGCTTCCCTTCACTGAGCTGAGGGAGAGCGCTCCTGGAAATGGAATGGCCTTTAAATACTTCTACAACCGAAATTAAAACTTAAAAAGGAACACACTTGTGCCCAAAGTGGAAAAGAATCAATTGCATAAGAAAACCAAGAATCAAGACTTCTGCACTTTTTTTCCAGAAATGCTAAATCTGATTATATTTGTCAAGATAATCCTAACTATTATAACAAATAAACCCAAAACTATGTAATGACTCAAACATGGTAGACATTTATTTCTTACACAAAATCCTAAAATAGTGTTTCTGATTGGTAGCTGGCTTCTCTCCATGTGATAATTCAAGGACCCAGGCTCCTTCTGTCTTGTGGCTTTGTCATCTTCTAGATGTGATTTCCAAGGTCAGCATGCTAATCTTGATCAACTGACAGAAGGGGAAAGAGAAGGGAGGGTCATGCCTGGAGGGGTGATGGGCCAGGTCTTAAAGTGGTACGCATCACTTCTGCTCACTTTCCATTGGCCAGAACTCAGTTACAGAGTCTCCTCTAACTCCAGAATAGGCAAATGTTATTTACCTGTGTGTCCAGGAAGGAGAGGAAAGATGTTCGGGGAACAATAGCCAGCTCTGCCACACCTGGAGTTGTTCTCCTAAAGCACCTTTCCTTTCGATATACGTCTATGAAAAGAATGAGTTAGTAAACTTGTAGTTTCTTATTCTTTCAACAAATACTTATTGAGCACCTACTCTATTCAAAGCACTTGCTTAGTGGCTGGGGCATGAGGGATGCAGAGAAGAACGCAGCAGAAAGTCTCTTTCGAGGAGTTCATAATCTAGTAGAAGGATAAAACTCTATATTAGCCAGAAAATGACAAAAGCTCCAAGAGAGGTTCAGATGAGGCTTTGGGGAAGTTCAGAAGAAGCGGTAGATGGAGGATTCTGTGATGGGAGCGGGGTGTTGTAGGCAAAACATAAGCAGAGGCACAGAGGTAGGTAACCAAGGAGTCTTTACGGCAGGAAGTCAGAGGTTCAATTCGACTGGAGGGAGGCGTGTAAGAAGAGGAGAGATCAAGTTTAAGCTGGAAAAGTGTGTTGGTGTCCAGTGCCCCTAAACCCTCACTAATCAAATATGATGATGTGTGTTTCTGAGAGAGGATATTCAGTCACCTGTCCCCACGGTTTCTATTTTTTCCCCACTTATTTTTCATGAAGCTGGTACCTGGTTCTCTTTCCACTTCAGATAATTATAAAGATGATTATGGAAATGATAGTGGTGGTGTTGCTAATGATTAGGAGAGAGAAGAGATTTTGTACAATTTCCTAATCTACCCAGAAATCTTTCTGTCTCACTCTGAGAAGAATCCTTGAGATCATCATTCATGACGCCGTGAACAAATTTCCGCTCCCTGGGAGGCCACAGGAGAAAAAGCACAGTGGAGTAGTGACTGCTTCTGAGAATGAGCAGAGCAGGGCCGCTTGACAATCAGTTTGGCAAACACGGGAGTCACAAAGCAGCACATTTAGGCCAGCACTAAATGGGACCAAACATCTTCACCAGGCTGTGGGACTGAAAGCCACTGGTGTCGAGACTGGTTTTCTCCATCCTCAGCCTTTCAAAAAAGTACCAGTGGATAAGAGCTAGGGCACTATGTTAATAAGGGTGCTTATTCTTCATTTAAATTAGGCAGACAGGCCAGCTAAGTGCATGACACTGTAGCAACCTGGTAGATAATGTTTAGCAATAAATCAAGATCATTTCAGTTGACTACAGATATCACCTACAAAAAGCTGTGTGCTGCCCAGCCCGTCATGTGGAGTGCAACCTGCTCCTCTTGTTCTTTGCCTTCCTTCCTTCCCTTCTGGATTCATTTCAGCTCCTCGACACATTAGGGAGTGACCAGAAAACACCTCAACTCTGTGAAGACCATGCCACATCCGTATCATGGATGTTGTGGGCTGCCACAACAAAGTACTGCAAACCTGGTGGCTGAAACAAGCAATTTATGCTCTCACAGTTTTGGAAGAGAATTGAAAGTAGAAGGAACAATAATTGCAAAGGCTCTGAGGTGAGAGGATACCTGGCCAGCGTGATGAGAGTAGAGAAAGAAAAAGAGCAGTGGGAGCTGACATGAGTCCTGGATCACCTTGTAATGGTCAAGGTCACACATTGGTAGTGGTTAGAAATCAGCGAGGTCATTAAGAAAGTGAGAGAAATACAGGGGGTCAATGCTGTGTCTTCGTCTTTTACACACACCATCCACTCTGTTGGGATTCCTACACATCCTTCAATCCATCTTGCACCCACTTCCCCTGATTCCGCTCCTCCTCCTCCTCTTCCACCATGTCCTCCTTCCTGGGTACCTGCTCCATCTACAAACAGTGCTAATCTTGACCTCTCTTATGCCAAACCATCCACGTACGTATCTCTAGAAAAGCACCTGGCATGTTGCTTTGGACGCAGTAAGAACTGAGTGGTGTTTTCCTCCTTTATCTCTTAAAATCCTTACCACAACTTTAGAGATTTTCACTGCAAATCAAATTTGAACTGAGTTTTCAGAGAAGACCTAGTTTATGTGCAAAGACATAAAGATGTAATAGAATCTTTCGAAGAGCTCTCTTGCTAATGCTAAATCGTAGTGAACAATGTATTTCCTGACATTTCAGATTCCCAGACCAGAGATAGAACGTGATAGAAGGAGGGAAAAGGGGTGAGCAGTTTTACAAAGTTTCTCTGGTCTCATCCTTCTTCCAAACTGTATCTTTATTCATGGGGCAAAAGGAAGGAATTCGCGTAGAGTAAAATAGATTTCACTCATGTGCACAGACGTGTGTGCCCTGACTGTTGTCTGAGCCAAGTCCTAGCAATAGAAAATACACCTGTTCTGTAAAGGATCTAAGGAGCTCTAGGGCGATACAGGAAAGGTGGTGTAAGCATGTGTGTTTGAGTGAGTGTGTGTGTGTAGAGAGGGAGAGAGAATGAGAGAGACATGGGCTGAGTCTGTGTATGAGGGGTGGTGGATCAAGTTAATACACGGAAGTTTAATAGGCATTTGACTGCTTAGCCAAATATAGAATTAGTCCCTAGAGAACGACATCGTTATATGGGAGGGGGGTTGTTTGTAAGTGGAACACTTCAGGGAGGAGAAGTATTCAGCACCTGCTTTAATCAACCTTACAACTATTTTTATGAAGATTTACACTTATAGTAGTTTGAGCAGTTTTCTCGAGTTCCTTCCCTTGGCTTGTAGTTTGGAATTTTTCCATGTTTTTGGACGCAAATAAATGCAGCTGTTTGCTCTGTGAGAGCTATGGAAAACATATATTTATGCCGCATTTGTAATATAGAGAATGTTCAATTGAGACTGAATTTGGCTTCTTGCCTTATGTTTCAACTTTTCTTTTTAATAACATAAGGTCCTTCATTCATGCAAATGATGCTATTGACTCATCAGCATGGTATAGCAGAAGAACAGGGGTCTGGGCACAAAAACAACTGAGTTTCAGATCTGCTTTGTCAGTAGTGACCTTCCTGGATGTGGCAGATTATATTTTCCAAAGACGGCCTCAAAAATCTCATATCCCACTCACCCCTTTACAATGTGACCTTGACAATTTCCCATGAGGAAGGCCAATCTATGTCCCCGCCTCCAATCCAAATGGGCTTGGACTTCCTTATAACCAGTGGAATGTGGCAGAAGTGACCATGACTTTTGAGGCTGAGCCATAGAAGGCAATGCAGCTTCTGCCTTGTTCGCCAGAACATTGGTACTAGGAGCCAGGCCACCATGTAAGAAGTCCAACCATCCTGAGGCCGCCATATTGTGAGGAAGCTAGGCAGCATGGGATAGTCATGTTCAGGTGCTCTAGTCCGAAGTCCTTCAAGTTCTCCTAGCCCAGGTGTTAGCCTGATTGAAGAAGCCTTCAAATGATCCACACGCCCAGTCATGCAGTCACTCTCAGTCTTCAAGTATTTCCAGCTGAGGCTCCAGACAGTCCAGAGGCAAGCTATTCCCACTACGTGCTTTCTGAATTCCTGACCCTCATAATCTGTTAGTTAGTATTTTATGCCGCTAAGTTTGGAAGCAAGAGGAATAGAATTGGCAGCAATGGAAACAGAGAATTTGGAATCTGGAAGTAGGGGGCTACTGTAACAAAACACTAAAATACATGGCATTAGTTTTGGGACCCAGTGGCAGGTGGGTTCTGGAAGCCCCTTGTGAGGGCAGTTAGGGTAAGCTGGAAGGGCCTCAAGGAGAGTGTGATGAGAGTTTAAAGGAAATTTAGGAGCATATTATCAGAATCTGAAGGAAAGGAGATTCTTGCTATATAGTGGAAGAATTTCAGCAAATCTGTTCCCCATAATAACGTATAAGATCAAAAATACATCTAGTGAACTTGACTTCCAGGCAGAGTGTTGAGGGTGCCTCCTGACTTCTTCTAGTTGCCGGTAACAAAATGAGAGAGGAGTGAGACAGACTAAAGGAGGAATTCTTACCTTTTCAAGTGTAATTTGGAGACTGTAGAAAGGTCCCAGAACAGTCTTCCCAGCTAGGAAAAGGTCTCAAATTGAGAAGTGGCTTCCGGAAAAATGTAAATCCAAGATGTGGCTGTAGGAGCCAGCCTGGTGGCATAGTGTTAAGTTCGTGCACTCCACTTTGGTGGCACAGGGTTCGCTCGTTTGGATCCTGGGCGTGCACCTACACACCACTCATCAAGCCGCACTGTGGCGGCCTCCCACATAGAAGAACTAGAAGGACTTACAACTAGGATATACAACTATGTACTGGGGCTTTGGGGAGAAGAAAAAAAAGAGGAAGATTGGCAACAGATGTAGCTCAGGGCCAATCTTCCTCACACACACACACAAAAGTCACTTTTATTAAAAAAAAAAAAGATGTGGCTGTAAGATCCTTTGTCAAATCTCAGATAGGTCTAAGGTGCCACCTCAGAGATTCTTCCAGGAAGATAAAAGGCGTTCTAAGGATCTTCAGCATGTGCCTTGTAGATCCTTTTCATTAAACAGTAAGACTTCTAAGAATCTTAAGTGCATTGTCCCACAAGAGCCACACAAGGGCCAGAGAAAGAGAAGGGCCTGACCCAAAGTGATTTCTAAGTGTGGTTTTGTCTAATAGAGTGGATTATATATTGATACACAGTAAAAAACAAAGGTTTTTTTTTTTTTTTTAAAAGAACGATGTCAGCTTTGACTGAAAGGAGCAGAGATAGTATAAAATGAAAAGTGGTTTTTTGACCCCCAATCTTTTAAGGACAAGAAGCTGTCTGAAAAGCCTATTCAACTGCATGCACGAGTCATTTCTTATGGAAAAGGAAGGATAACTCAGAGGGTAGAACCAAGAACCACAAAGGAAAACTCCCACAGAGTAGGACTGAGTCCCACTGTGCCCCAGTTTCAGAGGTGCTATGGACCTGTGACCACTGATTCCTTCTGTTTTCCCTAATTTGGAAGGGGAATGTGGACAACAGCTATTCTACGCTTGTCCTACTGCTGTAGGATGTTCGTACGGGGACAGATATCTTTTTATCATGTCTTTAGTTCATTGATGTACAGATCAAGAGGAATGGTAATTAAGGAGATTGACCCAAAAAACTATATCTGAGGAGTTTCATCCACACTTGGACCTGATTTAAATGATGGGATTCTGGACTTACAACTGATG